CAAATTCACTATTCCTTAAATTGCTGATAAGCTATTCACCTCTTGGGAAGTCTTGTAGTAAAGAAATCCACTTACCTTGGTTGAGACACAGTTTCTCAAACATATGTTTTGTCCAAGGCATCTTGTCTCTTCTTTATTGTTAATTGCACAATGCACATCAATGCTGGATGTATCACTTTGCCCACAGATGTAAATATGCTCACCAACTCTGCCCATGGGTGCCTTTGATTTCCTAGTGTTGTTATAGTGACTTTTGTTGGGCTGAGTGCTACTCTGTTCTATGGAAGACCTTTATTCATTATTTTCTTCCTGTATGTTGCTATCTAAAATTCCTCTTGCTGCCACAGCTGGAGTTAAAAATGGTCATTGGTTGCCTGTCTGGAGTTTTACTGATTAACTTTTCAAGACCATACACAAATGAGTTCTTGTATCTCTGAGGTATATTAGAAGGTAGTTCAGTTTCGTTAGTTGGCTGAAAGTCATGCTAATTAATGAAAAACTTCCTCCAAGAAGTGAATTCTGAAATGGCTGTTGCCTCATGGGAAACGCATTTGAACTGCTGAGCAGGTTTCTCTTCGATGGCTCGTGGTTACCTCTCTGGTCGCAGAGGGAAGGGCGGTGAAGTGGTGACAGTTGTGCCGCAGCCTGGTGCATCATGGAAGGAGCATTGCGCTTGGAGTCGCTAGCTCTGGGTGCAAGTCTTAGCCCTGTTGCTTGGTTGCTATGTGAACTTGAGCCGATCACTTCAACTCTGAGCATTTGTTGACTCAACTATAAAATGATGATTGTAACAATAATTCTGACCTCTCTAGGGAGTTTTGGAGGGGGCTAAATGAGATGACATATGGAAAGCACCTTTGCAAAAGCACGTTTTTATTATTAGATGTCTGGGTTTACATGTATTCCTGACCGTTTTTTCCATTGCTCTTGTCTTAACCAGAAACAACGCATGCAGCTTTTCCAGATGCGCTTTCTATGAAAAGCTAATACTAAGCTGATACAAAGTCCAACTTGGTTAGGTGGTAGACTTCCTCTCGTTTTTTTTTTCTTTCACCACTCCTTTTAAGCTTGGTGTTGACCCTAATTCATAAATGATGCCTCAATGTTAATTTCTTTTAACAAGTCTGTGAAGAGAAGGAAAAAGTGAGACTTTCCTACAAAACTTTTAAAGAAATGTAGTTGAATAAATGCTTCAGCCAGCTGAGGCTATGGGAGAAGTGAGAGCCTCAGGGCAAAAATGGTAGAGTGCTAGAGTAGAATTTCTTATCTGACAAAATGGTAAGGGTCTTTACTTTGGGCCTTCAGTTAATGAAGATGTCAGAGGTTATAAAGTAGGATCCCCTTGCATACTGCGCGGCTTTCTGCCACCTCACTGGCTGTTTTACTTAACTCCGTTTTCTTCTGCCTACTTCTCTTTCCTTTCTGGAACAACTGTCACATTCCTTCCCTACTGGCTAGACCCCCAGTAGTTTACACCCAGACCCCCTTCTAAGAAGAACTGGTTGCCCAGCTCCAGGGTGTGGGTCCGCAGACAGAGTCCCACTGAAAGCTCCTTTCAGAGTCTGCTTCAGCTGCAGGCTGCCTCCTCGCCTGAGGTGACACCTTTCCCAGGGTGACCCACATCCAGTGACTGAGAGAGGTGAAGGTTTAAAGACTGAGCCATTTCAGCCTCCTTCGAGATACTCTGATGAGCACTGCTAGCGCCGAGCTCCCAGCCTGTTAGCCAAGACTTTGCTGGGCTTGCATCACAGGTGAGGTTCTTCCTCTGGCCAATCCTGCTTCCCCCTCCTTCCTTCCACAGATATTGATCTCTAATACATGCCCTTTTTTAAATGTTTTCTTTTTACAAAAACTTTACTGAGTTATAATTTACATACCATAAAATTCACCCCTTTAAAATGTACAACTCAGTGGTTTTTTAGTATATTCACAAAGTTTTGCAACCGTTACCACTATCTAATTCCAGGACATTTTCATAACCCCCAAAAGAAATTCCATACCTGTTAGCAGTTTCTCCCCACTCACCCCTCCCCCAACTTCTGGCCACCATTAATGTACTTTCTGTTCTATAGATTTGACTCTTCTGGAAGTTTCAGATAAATGGATCATTCAATACGCGGCATTTTGTGGCTGGCTTCTTTGTTTTTATAATTTTTTTTATTAATTTCTTTTGTATTGTTTAAAGTATTACATATGTCTACTCTTTGTAATACTTCAAGCAATACAAAAAAAAAGTATTACATATGTCTCCTTTTTCCACCATGGACCCCTCCCCGGCCACTCCTACCCCCCAGAACAAGCCCACACTGCCCCAGTGTCTGTGTCCATTGGTTATGCTAATATGCATGCATACAAGTCCTTTGGTTGATCTCTTACATCCCTTCCCCACCCCGGCCCTTCCCTGCCTGCCCTCTGAGGTTTGACAGTCCGTTCAATGCTTCTTTGTCTCTGGATCCAGTTTTGTTCATCAGTCTATATTGTTCATCATATTCCACAAATGAGTGAGATCATGTGATATTTATCTTTCTCCCACTGGCTTATGTTGCTTAGCATAATGCTCTTCAGGTCCATCCATGCTGTTGCAAATGGTAAAAGTTTCTTCTTTTTTATAGCAGCATAGTATTCGATTGTGTAGGTGTACCACCGTTTTTTAATCCACTCATCGGCTGATGGACACTTAGGCTGTTTCCAAATCTTAGCTATTTGTAAATTGTGCTGCTGTGAACATAGGGGTGCATATGTCCTTTCTGATTGGTGTTTCTGATTTCTTGTGATATATTCTTAGAAATGGGATTACTGGATTGAATGGGAGTTCCATTTTTAACTTTTTGAGGAAACTCGATACTGTTTTCCACAGTGGCTGCACCAGTCTGCATTCCCACCACCAGTGCACGAGGGTTCCTTTTCTCTACATCTTCACTAGCACTTGTCGTTTGTTGATTTGTTGATGATAGCATTCTGACAGGTATGAGATGGTACCACATTGTCATTTTGATTTGCATCTCTTGGATGATGAGTAACTTTGAGCATGTTTTCATGTGTCTCTTGGCCTTCTGTGTGTCTTCTTTCTAAAAGTGTCTATTTAGATCCTTTGCCCATTTTTTGATTGGATATTTTATCTTCCTTTTGTTAAGTTGTATATGGCTGGCTTCTTTTACATAGTATAATGGTTTCAAGGTTTATCCATGTTGTAGCATGCATCAGTACTTAATTCCTTTTTTATGGACAAATAATATTCCAGAAGGTAGTATATAAATATATTATATTTTGTTTCTCCATTCATCAGTTGATGTACATTTGGGTTATCCTAATAAACACATCTTGCATCCCAAACTCTAACTCAGCATCTACTTCTTGAAAACCCAACCTGAAAACTACCCATACTTAGAATCCTGGGATCTTAACTTCTGTGTCAATGAGAGTTATCAAGAAATCCTTTCAGTAAAGGAGGTTCTATCCAAAGAGAAGTTCTAGTACCAGATGCCAAGATAATGAAAAGCTGTCCATCTTATTACAATAAGTACTGCTGGCTATTTGGTCTTAAAGTAGGCTTATTTAGGGAAGAGATTTAATGTAGTTGAAATCTCGTTTAAAATGGAGAAGACAGAAGGATCAGGTGAGGGGTAAGGCCAGAGAGACCGGGAGGGGCCACATTGTGAATGGCATTCATGCCATGATGAGATATTTGGACCTTTCCTGTGGGGAAGTGGGGACTTATGGAAGGCAAGTGAGGTGTGATCAGGTGTGCTTTCACTTCATTTGTGGATTACAAATGGTGGGCAGCTCTTCTATCAGAAAATATTGTGAGTTGGCTGGAGTTTGAGTGGGGGCAGATGTTGGAGATGAAGAGATAAATTGGAGTTAGAATAAAATCAGGGGCGGGGAACATGCAAATGAGACGAGAAAAGGTGGGCAGGAAACATGGGGAGAGAGGCAGTGTGGCATACTGGAAAGAATGTGGCCTTGGAGTGTGACATACCTGGGCTTTGATTCCTCTTTCATCCTTTAGCAGCTCTGTGACTTTAGGCAAATCACCTAAATCACTTCTCTTCCTCTTTAAAAAAAGGCTAATAATCCTTACCTCTCAGCATTGTGTTGTGAATTTGAAGTGACATAGCCCATCTAAGGCAACCAACTCCTCTTAGTTCACTTTCCCTGTCCCTGTAACCAGGGCAGACCTGAGAGGCAGGACCCAGGATGGAGATCCAGAGTGAGGTCATCATATAACAGCGGTTCTCAAACTGTGGGTCGCGACCCCTTTGGGGGTCAAACGACCCTTTCACAGGGGTCGCCTAAGACCATCGGAAAACACATATATAATTACGTCTTGTTTTTGTGATTAATCACTATGCTTTAATTATGTTCAATTTGTAACAATGAAAATACATTCTGCATATCAGATATTTACATTACGATTCATAACAGTAGCAAAATTACAGTTATGAAGTAGCAGCGAAAATAATTTTATAGTTGGGGGTCACCACAACATGAGGACCTGTATTAAAGTGTTGTGGCATTAGGAAGGTTGAGAACCACTGTCATATAATAAGGTTAGATTGAGTGCAGGATGGTCAGGAGGAGCTGAGGACCAAGGAGCAGGAAGAGGGAAGAAGGAAAGGCAGGCCAGAACCTGAGGCATCGCTGGGCTGGGCCCGGGCAGAAGCACATCTGCCTGGATAACGTTTCTCTGGAGCTTTGTCCTTCTCGAAGGTTCAGAACAACCTCCCTCTAACCCACCAACTCAGGTCTCTCTGCAACTTCAAACGGTGGCCACAGGGCTCATTTGGGGGAGGGGGTGGAGCCTGACATAGCTCATAATTTTAGACCTCTTACCAGGGGATGAAGAGAAACCAAAGGCTGTGTTTGGCAGGTGCACCTGCCTAGTGCTAAAGAGTGTACCAGTTTCCTTTCTGGCTTTCCTTTTATTCTTTTAAACTCCCTTTCACCAGCACATCTTGATTTTTAAAAAAAGTTATTTTGCCTCTGCTCATTTTCAGTTCCAAGTGATCTATGGTTGCGATCCATGACCTCTGAGGCTCCTTGCCGTCCCATGATGCTGGGACTGAAAATCAAGTGGAGTTTGGCAGCTGCTTTCTGAGCCATCTTGGACACTTGCCATCTAAGAAGTTAATCTCATCCATCTTGCAGTCGGCCACTTATCAGCTCTATGGAGACACTGCCAGTCTCCCAAAACACTAAAACAGTACAGAAAACTGTGCATTTGACCCCTTGGAGAATCACACATCCTCTGTGTGGAGACACTGCCAGGCTCCAGAAACATGAAAATGGTCTAAAATCTGTGTGTGTGTGACCTGTGGAAGACACTCCTTGGCACCTCCACAGCCAACGGTGCAAAGGTAATTGAGGTTTGTAATAAGGAGCCTGAGGCCTCACAAAAAACCACGTACTTTCTTTCTTTGATACTAACCAGAATTTGTTTAAAACAAATTTGACCAGTGCTCCTAATACTCTGCTATTCATGAAATCACATTTTCTTATGTGGATCAAAGATGTTAAAATAGCAGTGGTTTTACATGATCTGACCTTACATATGCTAGGAGCCATGCCAGGAGCTGGAGATACAAAATGATGAAACATAGCTTCTGGCTCACAGAGGCTTCAGAGTGGAGGGAGGAGGCGGACACAAATAGTTGGGACACAGGTTATGTGGGTTCTAATAAGATGTGTACAAAGGGCAGCGTGCGGTACATCCCTGAGAGAGAGAAACTGAAGGAAAGGCTTCCCAGAGAGGTTACTGGGCTTCAGTATATGGAATAAGAGATGTATTTTTTTGTGTGTGTATATGAAGTTCTCAAAATCACCAGCCATCCTAGGAATACACAGTCTGGTGGCTTTGTACTATGCCAATTTAGCTTAAGGTCTAACCGCTGTAAGAAATCCTTTCTTTATCACTCACCGTGGTTCTCTGATTGTCCCCTGACCACATAGTATGTCTCACTTCAACCTGTGATGACAAGTTGAAGTAGCAAAGAATAATGTATTTACAAATGCCAACATCCTTGAAGACAGCCTGCTGCACCTGTCTCAGCTAGCACTGTGGGAGTCCAGCTGTTGCCAGACTAGGCCAGGGGGAAGGTGGCTCTAGCTTTCAGAAGATGAATAGAGTTTAGTAGTTGACTGAGCCTTGAGAAGAAAGAGCAGGGAAGATACAGTGTTAGTATTGCCATCTAATGTTCAAGGATTTCCATAGTCTTTCCCCAACCTGTCTTCCCAGGTTTTCCCCATCCCTCACATCGAGAAACAACAAATGACTCCTGCAATGAACACATTGCCATCTTCTGCACGTTGGTGCCCTCTGCTCCCTCACTCTGCCAACTCACTCCTAGTGACTTTAAGACCCGGCCGGAAGACACCCTCTGAGGTATGTTTCTCTAGGCTCGTGCACCTTAGGCTTTAAGGTGCATGGAGCCCTCTGCAAGTTCTCACTTGGAGGCCTTGATAAATTGCAGATTCTAATTCAGTATGTCTGAGGCAGGGCCCGAGACTCTGCATTTATAACAAGGTCCTGGGGGATATAGATGCTGCTGATCTCTGAACCACATTTTGAGTAGTAAGGCTCTAGGTCTCATTTTTTCTTTAGTCCTTTTGGAAAGTCAAGCCTGTAGAAGCTGTTGTTTTTTTTTTAAATATATATTTTATCGATTTTTTTTACAGAGAGGAAGGGAGAGGGATAGAGAGTTAGAAACATCGATGAGAGAGAAACATCGATCAGCTGCCTCCTGCACACCCCCTATTGGGAATGTGCCCGAAACCAAGGTACATGCCCTTGACCGGACAGGCCGACGCTCTATCCACTGAGCCAAACCGGTTAAGGGAAACAATGTTTTACTCCAGTTCCAATACAATAATTTGCTATTCAGCAGTTGGTAAATTCTTTTGGTAGATATATGTAGGGTGACTGATGTCCTGGTTTGCCTGGCACTTTGGGGTTTCCTGGGACATGGGACTTTCTGTGCTAAAACTGCAAAGTCCTGGGCATGCCAGGCTGAATTGGTCTCCCTACCTCTGGTGGTTACAGCTGGGTCACAACCTCCATACCAGATGAGGTGAGCTCATAGGCAAAATTCTGTTAAAGCTACAAAGTTTACTCGCTAGCAGATGCAAGAACAGTCCTTCAACTGCTTCTAAAGCAGTGGTTCTCAATCTTCTGGCCCTTTAAATACAGTTCCTCATGTTGTGACCCAACCGTAAACCCAACCATAAAATTATTTTCGTTGCTACTTCATAACTGTAATGTTGCTACTGTTATGAATCGTAATGTAAATATCTGTTATGCAGGATGGTCTTAGGCGATCCCTGTGAAAGGGTCGTTCAACCGCCAAAGGGGTCGCGACCCACAGGTTGAGAACCGCTGTAGAAGGCTTTGGGGAAGACCCATTCTCTGCTTTAGGCGCTACAAGTGGCATTAGCCTGATAGGTTCTCTCTAAAGTAGACATACGGATATTATGGAGATGAACCAGCTAAGCTTGCAGTAGGTTCAAGTGACAGCCTCTATGGAGAGAGACACAGGACCATGGAAACACTGGGCCTCAGGTGCGGCACCAAAAATGTTAGACTGCAGCTGGTGAGGAGCCCTAAGGTTTTCAGAGCAGAGGACCTGGCCCCAGGTACAGCCAGGAAATCAGCTCTGTGCCTTCCTCAGACTTAATTAAATTCAGGTTTTATTGGTCTTTATGATATTTTGCCTAGAGGGTGGGTGGGAGGTCATCTCAGGAAGCGACCACCCCTCAAAGATATCTTATTCCACATTGCACAGTATCCCAGATACAACCCCTTATTGCAGGGGGCTCATTTCTTTATGCCCCGAGGAGCACACAAAACAACGAGACCCCCTGGACTTCAGAGAAGCCTCATTGCGTGGGGACTGGTGCTGCACTGGAACCGCTGGAGGTGTTTTCTCAGGAGGGAGGAGGATCTCTTCCTGATGAGCCTCAGTTAAGAAAAGGTAAAAACCACACGTTTCTATTTGTTTTTCTGGAGAAAAGGCAGAAACACAACAGTTTCCTTGCCTCTAGGCCTTTCAGAAGAAGCCAGCTGGGGGATGGGAGGGTGGGCTGCTAGCATGGATGTTCTGTGAACAGATTTTTGAGAGCAAATGTTAGCGCTAGTGGAGCTCTCATCCTCCCTGTGGATTTGTACTGCGACCTCTGACACCAATTCAGCAAAACAACTTCACCTTTCACCTACTTTCTGCGTTTTCCTGCTGTTTGGTTCATCCTTTGTGTGCACACATAAGCAACTCTTGATGATTTTGTTTGTTCATACCGTTTCTTCCACAACAAAGAGGAAGAATAGAGGTCCCCAGGGATGCTGTGGAAGTTGGGAGACCAGGAGACCAGTAGGGATGTGAGCGCGTCTCTGTTGGAAGGGACCCCAAGGGTGTTCAGAGATTGTGGCCCAGTCTTCATATCACGGATGAAGAAACTGAGTCTTGGAGAGGAGAAATGGCTTGCTTGAGGGCGGCAAATGAGTAATTGGACCTGAAAAAAGGTTTTTTAATGCTGTCAATTAAAGCTCATGGAGTCTTAACAATTCCGTATCCATATCCAAGCAGATGCTTGAGTTCTGGTCTCTATGTCCTTGTGAGTGGCCATATGACCACTGCTGGCCTGATCTGGCCTCATCTGGTGATGGGCATTCACCACTGTCCCAGAAAGTGGGGCTTTAGTCCATGATTTCCTTGGGATATGATATTTTGACCAGGATTGTATTTTGAACTCTGTCTGGAGACATTAATTTTAATTAGAAATACACCAATATCAATGAATTTTCATTGAGGAGATATTTCCTGGAGCAAACTTCGTTTAGCTTTGATCATTTCATTGTGGGATACCGAAGGACCTTTAATTTCTACAAGGGATGTGGCCTCTCCTCTGTTGTGTAGAACAAATTTAGGAAAATGATGATCTGAACTATGGGACAATTTTTTTTTTTTTAAATCCTCACCTGAGGATATGTTTTTATTGATTTTTTTCCTTTTTTTAAGAGAAAGAGAGAAACATCAGTGTGAGAGAGAAACATCTATTGGTTGCTTCTTATACGCTTCTGACTGGGGACCCAGCCTGCAACCCAGGTATGGGCCCTGACTGGGAATCGAACCTGCAACCTTTTGGTGCATGGGGCAGCAGTCCAACCAACTGAGCTACCTTGCCAGGGCTAGAATAAAATTCTTTAAAAGGCACATGTAAATTTGTTTTGTAAATTAAATGATATATAAAATAGAATAGAGGGATTTAGCACTCAAAGCAACTAATGGAGGATATATTGCTAAGTGAGAAGAGCCATATTTATATAGCACAAATAAATTTTTTATTAATACATATTATACATTATTCTGGGAAGATGTATATAGATACATCTGGGAATATGTATATAAAAGCTCCTAAAGTTTATATATATTTTTTAACTTCCACCATCAACAAGAGACCAATTCTCTGATTATAGTTGGGAGAATCCCAAGGAAGGACCCTGATTGGCCCACCTTGGGTTAAGTGCCCAGCCCTCACTTATCAAACTTGTGGAAAAAGATATGGCCGCATAAGAAGATACTGTATGGATAGGGAGAATGGTTCCCAGGAGGAGGGGCTCTAGGCAAACAGTCCCCTGTGTGTCCAGTACAACAGCATGGCAGCAGTTGTGTGGACAGTCATGCTCAGTACGGGCATGTTGATCAGTATGCTGGAAACCAGGAAGGAAGGGCTGTGGGTTAGCATACCACCTTTCCTATTGTTAGAGCAAAGTCAACAAGTCTTTATTGAGAGCTGCTCCCTGGTGACTTGATCATTGTTGGACCAGCCTGCATCTGTTTACACTGTCATTTTTTCCTGCTACGTTAACCCCAGGACCTCCAGCTCCATTCAGACACCCAACAGTCCTGACATTTCTCCGCCCTGCAAAGAACTGTTGACAGCTTGGACTGTTATCTTGGTCTTAATTACTGCTGAGTCACTTCATTTCCCAGAGGGAGAAGGGTGAGGTCACCAACACTGCTGGCTACAGGCAGCCTTAAGCTCCGATGGAATGTTTCTGGAGAGAAACGTGTGTAAGAAAAGGAGCCCGACTCTGTTCCTTTCAGAGGAAGGCTGTTAGCTTGTTCTGGGAAGGTCAGCTGGATGGCAGAAAGGGAGTGGGAGGAGCTTTAGCATAAAAAGCCTTAACTCTAGACCTGTCTTCCCCAGCACTGGGGGGCACTCAAGTCAGTAAATTCCAGTTCATAAGGCTGGTGGAGAGTCAGCCATTAGGAAATACGGTTAGGGATAATGCTGTGAGGTATGGAAGATATCATGATGTGAAGACCCAGACACACAATACAACATACAGTTTAGAGTTGTACACTTGAAACCTGTATGATTTTATTAACCAATGTCACCCTAATACATTCAATAAAAAATAAAAGACACAGACATGCCTCAGTACCCTTGTTCCATCTCTCCTTGCTCCATCCTGACTTCTGGTTGATCTGGGCTTCCCATCTGCCTCCCTTCCCCCCATTTCTAATAGCTACTGGGCTTTCGACCCATCATTTTCTTCAGGATTTATGCCTCTGTTGCTTTCCTCTGGCACATCGATGTTTGTTGGGCTCTCCCGATGTTTGCTGGAACTGTCCTTGGGGCCCCTTTTTAAATGGCCTGTTCTGGAGGTGGTTCATCCAGGTGACATTGGGCAGCACAAGCTCGCATCCCTCTCTGGCACCTGGCTCCAGGCTTACTGGTGCAGCTCTCTCTGGGAGGAGCTTCTTTCTCTTTTGGGTCCTGATAGTGCTGCGGGGAACTTAAGCCAGGCCTATTCACTGGTGACTGCCTTCCCTCTAGTCCAGGGGTGGGCAAACTTTCTGACTCGAGGGCCACAATGGGTTCTTAAACTGGACCGGAGGGCCGGAACAAAAGCATGGATGGAGTGTTTGTGTGAACTAATATAAATTCAAAGTAAACATCATTACATAAAAGGGTATGGTCTTTTTTTTTTAGTTTTATTCATTTCAAACGGGCCGAATCGGGCCCTCGGGCCGTAGATTGCCCACGGCTGCTCTAGACCAAGTCGGACTCACCTCTGTACCCTCTGCCTGTGGCACAGAGCTTGGCACAGAGAAAGCTTAGCCATAAATATCAAGGGAAATGCTCACTGTTGTTTCTGACTGTGGCCTCCTTTTCCTTGCTCATCCTTTAGGTCCAGATGCAGCTCACCACCACACTCTTTCCCATTCTCCTTTTCCACCTGCTTTCCTTCCTCCCCACACCAGTCTGACTGAGAGACAGTGTAGTGTAGTGGTTAAGAACATGGGTTCTAAAATAAGATTATCTTGATTTAAATCCTGGGCTTTATTGTTTATTAACTGTGCAACTGTTGGCAAGTTACTTCAACCTCCCTAGGACTGCTGGGAGGATTAAATGTGTTGAGATGAGTATTGTACTTGGAATAGCATGTGGTAGATAGCAGGCCCTCTAGAAGCATTTGCTGCTGTTGTTGTTCTCTACTTTCACTGTTCACTCCAGTAAGGGTCTCTGACTTTGTTTCCTCCTGCGTTCTCGGGCTAACTCCCAACTTATCCTCTCCTTGCACTCCAGCTTTTATGCCTCAGTCTCAGCCACTGGTCCACCCAGCCAAATATTTGCAAATACACATTTCTAATCGGCTAACACTGAGCTGTAGCCCAGGAGACATCCAGCCTCCATCCTTAGAACTGTCAACATCGCCTCTTCTACTCTTGGTTCTTTCCTCAGGCCATGTTCTGGCTCAAATCTTGCCCTTTTAATGGCTGATTAGGGAAGCTGTAAAGGAATGAGGTTTATCTCAGCTGGTAGACCTAGGGTTGGCAAACATTTTCTGTAAAGGGCCAGATAGTAAATATTTTATGGTCTCTGTCCATCATGGTCCTGCTCTTCTCCCTCCTTCTTCACAACTTTTTTTAAAAAATTGATTTCAGAGAGGAAAGGAGAAGGATAGAGAGATAGAAAAATCAATGATGAGGGACTCATTGATCGGCCGCCTCCTGCACGCCCCCTACTGGGGATAGAGCCCGCAACCTGGACATGTGCTTGAACCCAGGACCCTCGGTCCCCAGGCCGATGCTCTATCCACGAGCTAAACAGGCTAGGGCTTCACAACTCTTTAACAGTATAAAAGCCGTGCTTAACTTGAATGAAGGATTGTTGTACTAAAAGAGGTCACAAGCCACATTTGGTCCTCAGGCCATAATTTGTGTGCTCCTGTGCTAGGTAATAAGTGCCATGAGGGCAAGAACAAACCTGTCTTGTCACCTCTGTAATCTAGTGCTAGCCTGCACGTGGGAGGTCCTCTATCAGTACTTTTTGAATGAACAAATAAATGAATAAATGGGTTCAAATGAGTCTCTGGCTTACAAATTTAAGAGAAAGAGTCCCTGTGTCAATTCTATAGTGAATAGGAAAAAGCCTAGGGAAGGGTTTTATTAAGTTGGCTTCTTGCTCTGTCTGCCATTATCCAAGGGCACAAGGGTATGCCTCAACTTCAGTACCTACATGCAATTCTATCCCCTTCTTCTAGCCAAGAACAGAGCTCCCTGCAGCCTTCGTTTCATAATAAACTATACCAGCTTTGTGCTGGTAAATGTTTAACAACCAGCTACCCAAGAAATAAGCAAATGATCCCTAATTTATAGCATTTGTCAAATTCTATGGTGGTAATACTTCAACCATGGCCAATTTCATGCTACAAACCACTGAACTTGGAAGTTAGGGAGAGATATGTACAATCAGCTCTTTCTAGCAGAGGCATACCATTAAACCTTACCCCCTTTCCTGCTCACTCCTGCAGCCCTTAAGGCCATCCACCTCCTGGGATAAAACTTGAAAGAAAGCTTAGCTCCCACAATCCTTGCCTCAGGATTAGGATGTTCTCTGAGTTTTGTTGGATGGGTATCTTGCCCTCCCAGACTTCCTGGATTTCAGCCTTTGTC